GGGATATGCCCTGCCTCGCTGGCAGGGGAATCTAAGAAAAATGAAAAAATAGACATCCAGAATCTACCTGAAATACTAGTTGGAAGCATTCCACCAAGACCCCCGCCCAACTTAGAAAGTAGTTCCTTTTTTTTTTTGGGTTCTTTCTTTTCTACGTCGCAATTCTCAGCGACCGGCCGTTCATCTGAGAGACCCCCCTCAAATGCAGCGCGTTAACGGGACACGCCCGCGGCCCATGGCTGGGCCAAGTACTGGTGGTTTAAAAGGGGGGAAAAAAAAGAAAAAGAAAGGACGGGGGAGGGAGGGGGGAGGGAGAGGAATTCCGTGCCAGGCTGAATGCATATTTGGATCAAAGTCTCACGCTGGGCAGGCCAGGGTAGTCTTTCCTTTGTTGGTTCGTACAAAGAGGCTCGGTGGGACTGGAGGTTTGGAAAGAAACACTCCTCAATTATACCTTTCGATGAGAGACATGAACGAGTAAGCTTCGACAAAACTACCGTCTTCCACATAGGTTGCGTTCGATTCGAATACCGCGCAAACGTCTTCGATTCGAACAGCCCTGGTTTTCAAATACAACCCATACGCCTTCTTGTCAAATTTTGGTGGAAGACGGTACCATTTTCATAATTTATATCAAGATAAGAATTGACAGGTCATAATTGGCGTTTTGAACCAGACAAACCAGGAGAAAGTCAATTGTTCGGCGGCAGAACTGGAGAAACTTACAGGAGGTTCGCACCTCGTAGGCTCATTTGGTCGCAGGCAAGGAACTCCACTGTGTGTGGAAAAGTCCTCAGTGGAAAAAGTAGTATGAATTTCATTTCTAGATCACACAGAATAGATAGATAGTGGGTAAGATCAAGTGTAGTATTGCAATAACCCATGTGGTATGCCTCGTGGAAAACTGAGGGCCTCGCCAGGCCACAGCCAGATCCAGGCCAAAACAAGGGAAAAGACCCCAGTAAGAGATTCAGGGCCTGGACGAGGCACAGTTGACACAAATCAACTGTCGGAAATTCCAACAGTCAAACGGTCGGACACACACATTTGTTTGTATGCAGGTACCCAGACGGCATCAGGTCCAAGGGGGAAGTCTGCAACTGTACAATCCAGGCCCTCGGCTATGAGGCAATCTGGACGGCTGTGGGAAAGGCAACCGAGGCCAGACAGCCTCGACAAATGCTATTTAAGGCTGGCCTCGAGTTGGTCAAGCATTCAGTCTTGCTATGCTGCTTGGACGCTGGCTTGACTTCGACCAGACGCTGGCGAGACGCTGGCTGGAGGCCGGCACTGTGGGCGACGACGACAGCATGCTAGCGCTTTCTGCATTGTGAGCCAGGCATGCTGAGGTGGCGCTACCTCTGGTTGACATTGCATGCTGACGTGGCGCTGCCTCTGGTCTACATTGCATGCTGATGTGGCACTACCTCTGCTCTACATTGCATGCTGATGTGGCACTGCCTCTGGTCTACATTGCATGCGGATGTGGCGCTGCCACTGGTCTACATTGATGATGTGGCATATGCCACCTGTCTAGGCTGCTGATGTGGCATTGTCCACGCTGTCTACATGAGGTGACTGGTTGCGAGGAGGAGGGAGATCGGGATCTGTGGATGATTGGGATCGGGTACTCACCTGAGGTTGACGTCGTCACTGTAATCTGCTGTGTCTTCGTGGTCTTCATGAGATAAGAGTGCCACGTGGCACTATTGTGTGATCAGGATTATCATACTTGTTATCATATACTGGTTGTTGATGTGGAGAGGGAAGAAGCCCGGAGAAGGAGTGGGATTGACGGGATTACTCTTGTGTAATCTTCTATCATCTCTTTCACCTTCTCCTCTGTCTGATCCCCCTCCACTCTCTTCGTCTAATGGTAATGAGATACTGTTTCAGATATCTTTCACGATAATTGGAGACTATGTTGCA